TAGGTGAGTTGTAGAGAGAATGTTGCTATGAGAATTATGTGAAAGTATTACACAAAAAATCGCGCACAGTGAAGTTTGTCAAATGTGGAATTTATCCTAAATACTTACGACTGGAAATATTTTTATTAAATTGCAATTCTTATGAAATTTTTAAGAAAGATTATTTGGTACTTACTCTAAAGAATACAGTCTATCATTTCTTTGGAAACTTCAAAAAAGAAAGACTAGACATACAATGCTCTGAACATATAGTCGAAATGCTATATCGCAATTGAGAAATATGAGATTTGTCAATGGAAAATGTGATTGTATTGTATATAGATGGGATCCGCAAAACAGACACCTAAAGAATCTTATAAAATTCCGAGCTCTGTCAGTATCTATCAATAGAATTTATACGATCTTATTCTAGTTCTTATATTTTGTCTATAGGCACTCGACTCAATCCATTTGCTGCATTCCACTGCCATTAAGATCTCCAAATCTAAAATTTTTAAGAATGCGGATAAAAATTTATCGAGATATCTTATTTGTTTCTAATAATAAAAGAAAGATTATTCTATAAGAAACGGCGATACCGTAATACAAAAACATTGTCTAATAGGAATATTTTTCTTTTAATTAAGTGAAAGATTATATGATCGGCTTGGCGTCATGCTTGGTAAGAGATCGACCACACGTTTGATCATCTCGTTAGTATGATAATATTTGGGGAAATACTAATAAAATCTTTTTTTAAATGCTATTCGGTTAACTCAATTCTCGATATTATCTAGTTAGAATTATTTACTAATAAATTTTAAATTTTTATCTTTGAAATTTTACATTTTATTTCAGATAATATTCTACAAATATGGTTTACATACGAAATTTTACTTAGAATTTATGTATACATATTTATAAATAAATTTTCTCTTTTAACTAAAATGATACCGTGATAAATATGCATGTGATGATTAACTGCAACTCATTGCAAATTTTAATGCGGTTTTTTTTAGTATAAATGCATCCAAATCGATTTATTTCGTAGCGAACTTTTGTAAAAATAATTTATTTATTTGAGATTAGGGTAACAAAATATATAATATGAAAAATAAAACGAAAATAATTTTGAGAAGCGCGCGATAAATCGTAAAATAATCGAGAGAAGTCTCTTTAAGGTTTACATGATCAGAGCTTATGCTGGATTCACACTGGATCCTACGTGTGTCGTACGACGTTCTGCAACCAATCAGAAAATAGGATTTTGCTTCGTATCATCGATACAAAATAAAATTCTGCTTTCTGATTGGTTGCAGAACGTCGTAGGACACACGTCGGATCCAGGGTGAATCCAGCAATAGAAACGCTCTGAAAACGCGCGTATTGCGAACCGTAAAAATCCCATTCGTGAATTTCATGACATTGCATTCTCGTCGCTGTTAATTTCTGATCGTTATCGCTACGAAATGACGAGAAGAAGAACGCGAGACTCGTTCTCGCGAGAGAACTGAGCCACCCAACGACCACGTGGCTGGTTGGATATTTATGATACGACGCGGAGCATGTAGTAACTGCACGTGTTGACGAGCTTGCGCTTTTCGCCGGCCTTAATGTGTCGGCTTTTACTACATCGACGGGTACTGTCGCGGTACCGCTCGTGACGATGCATCGCACGGTGCATACGCTAATGACCGGGATTGCGTCATCGAATGGCACCATTAGCTTCGCCGCACTTCGATTTCCTAATGCGTATGGGATGACTTATGAATAGCCACCGACATTTGCATCTTATCGCAATAAAACCGGCAAAACCTCCTCGTGAATGCAAAGCGGTGTGTTTGCCAACCTTTCGGTGATTTCTGAAAAAGCAGAAAAAGCTCTCGAGCAAAGTACGTTTTTGTCATCAGGTCGAATAAAATTTTGTAGAATTCATTTGTGCTGATATTACAATGTATAAATATGTTTACCTTTTATTCGAATCTCTTAACTTTGCATATGACTTAATAGATTAATAGATATACTATCTAAGATTGTATTGAATTTTAATTTGATTACATTGAGACACGTTTATTTTTAATAGTATCATTTAATTTAGGGGATTAAACTTTTTGTTGCAATAACGCTGTTTAAAATAAACTTTGTATTAAAAAAAATTGTAAAACTTCTTAGGATTTGTTTGTGGAATTTTGTTTGTAGTAATTCTTTTTAGAAACGGGAAACTCAAACGAGATTTTTCTACGAGGCTGCTAAAAAAGAATTCCGTTGAGAAGTTAGAAAATGGCGTTTGGACTTTCGATAGCCGTTTAAAAACTGCTTTAGAAAAGTGTAGGTCTTTGTCAAAGTTTTCGCAGAATATCGTTATTTCTCTGGTTTTACAGTACTCGGTAACGTGTTCGAGCGCAAATGTTTAAAGTCACTTTTCAAGATAATATGAGTAAATTCATCAGATAATACGAATAAATTCAGGCAATCCATATGATTTTAAGAAACGCGTTTATATAATACTCGCGGGAATAAATTCGATACCCGCGAGGAGTAAGTTATGAATGTCTTCGTGGGAGAGAAATTTGGTATTCCTAATTCACTTGGTTCGTTAGGGATTAATTATGAATCGGATCGGGCGACGGAATATAATGTGAGTGCTTGTACATCAAAGTCGAGGAAAGTTTGCGGAGAATTCACGTGGGGCACGAAGTCGACGAAACATTTCCATAGTTACGAACGAGGATACCTTGTTGAATCGGCGCGGCCTTTCTACCGCCGGCTATAGCAGTGACATCAACTACAACACCAAGCGAATTTAATTAATACGGGCGTTGTCAAAGGAAAGCATTATTCGGGATACGATAATAATATTAATAACATTAGTATGCGCGGCATGTTTTACAAACGAATGATCTGTGAAATATTTGGATATTTAATACGGGGTATTTCGAACTTAATATTTTATTATATATACATACGAATTTTTTATAATTTAAATGTTTTTAAACAATAAATAACAAGAAGGGGCTACAAGCTAGATTTTACGTATTTCAAATTCTTAGAACATACGTTTTGATCTTATTGGGTCATTCTCAGTGTAAAGAAATTATATATAAACGCAAATTTGACAAAATTAATAAAACAGTTAAAATTATATAATTTATAGTTACGCAAAAAGTTGGTAGTATTTATTCTATCTTCCGTACAGTGCAATGCTTTTCGTTCTGGTAATATTATGGATCATATTCTTCCATTATAACAGTCGTAATAAGTGCATAATGATAAAAATATTGAACATGATGAGTCATTAAGTAAAAATGTACCAGCACACATTCTGTTATCAAATTCATAAATAGATTATAAAAATTAAAATAACAATGAATAAATGATCGTTATATTCAAAATTATTAGTATATACGATCCTTATTTTAATAAACAACTATATTAAAGTGTGTGTTAATAAATAAAATTATTGTACACATATTACCTCAACTGCGATTGGTAAACCAGAATATAATCAGTAATTGCAACAATGAGTCAATTTAATTCGCAAGATGCAAATGCGATCAGAGATAAAAATTGAAACCAGTTGAGTCAAATTGCTTGTATTGTATTAGCAAGTGTGAGCGACATTCTGTTGCTTTGTATTATCTTGTCAAGAGAGGGGATAAGGAACAAAGGAAAAAGGAAGGAAAGAAAATATTAGGAAGGAGAAGAAGGCTACAAAATTTGTAGATAAGAATTAGATAATGCTTCGTTTTGTTTGTTCAATTCCAATTTTTGTTTTTTAATGTGAACCATTTCGGAGATCAATCTTTTATTATATATATATACGACGGTTCCTTGTTTAAAATCTTTACATCTTTCCAATTAAAATTATGGTTATAGTTAATACGGTGGTCAGTAATCAGATGGAGAACCAGTCTTTTTATTAATGTCCGAAATATGTTCATTTAGTCTTATTTTTAATTTTCTTTTGGTTTGTCCTACATAACTAGCTTCACAGTTATCACAAAAAATTTTATATACAACATTTTGATTAGCTAAATGATCTAATCTATCTTTACCTCTAGTTATAAGGCTTTTTAATGTATTTGGGATTGAATATGATAAAAAACTTTCAGAGATAGATTTTATACATGGAACTGTAAAGAATTTCTCTTTAACATGGATGTTATGTTTTATATTATTGTTCTGTGTGTGGTATTTTAATTTTTTTTCAATTGTTGAAAAAATGAAAGGAAGAGGAGGACAGCTATTATTTATAAAAATATTAATAGCATCAACCAAGTTCTTTTCATGGAAACGAGGGATGAGACAATTTAAATGTTTTTAATTTAAATTAAAATTTTTATTTAATTTATCTTATTTTCAGTAATTTTAATTTTATTTATTTTATTTTAATTAATTTAATTTTTATTTTTTTTGACGTGAACGCAGTAAACTTAGATAATATAACTATCGTTTGTTCAATTTTATTTCAGTTTTGAATAACATTTTAATGGACTATTTGGAAGATATGCTTTATTGAATAGTCTTATTAGTTGAAAAGTGACTTCACTCTTTTGAATCTTTTATCTCATTAAGTAAATAGAAAGTATGATCTTTCTAATATCTAATTATAAAACAAAGTATGACAAATTGTACATGTAATTGAAGAACTTATTACTATTAAGCTATTTCCAGTCCGTACCTTTAAGAAAATATAAATTACGTTCTGGTGATTTTATTATAAGCTTTTCAAAGATTTGTACCGGTTTAATCTCTATTTCTTTTTAAATACGAATTTAAAGTGCTTTGGAAATAAGCCCTACCTACCAATTATACCCTCGGGGACAGTCAAAGACGATTTATCTCTCAACCACGCGGAATTTCTTTTTTCACGACGCTTCTCTCACGTTGTAAAACTTACCACGTAACTTGTAGCGTTTTAAATCAGTGGCAAGGAAACTTGCGCGTTTAAGGATTTAAGAGTAATATAGCGAGCAGTGTGCGCTTCAAAAACTTCTCTAATTTCGTTTTCTTTGTTCCAGGGATCTCTGACCCACGCCGCGGTCATCTTCTTGTCGGGTGAGTCTTCAAACATTTCTTGAGTCAATCCTTATTTGAAGTTACTCCTCGTAAAAGACTGCTCTTGGAAAAGATTCCAGGGATTCCCTCAAAGTTTTTTTTTTTTTTTTAATAAACTGCGAGTGCTTATAATGCTTGCAACGAGTGTATGGTTATTACAGTCAGGAAATATTCTCTCTCTAACGCAATTTTTTAACATTCCAATTAAAATTTTTGCATTTCAAATAATAAATAGTTTCACATATTATAATATAAACGCTGTTACTGGCAAAATTAAAATTTTCTCTAATTTTCTCGTCGACGAATATGCTCTTTAAAAATGAATCCGTGACTTCAGTGCTACACTTATCACTGATGTAATCATTAACGAATGTTTACTGTTTTTCAGTAATAATACGAGTACACTGATTCACAGTTTTAGAGAGTGGAGAAGATCTGTTATCTAAGTTTTTCTATTGCGTTTTTCTTCACGCGTGTACACTTCCAAATAGGCGGTGAGTTTCGACCGAAATTATTAACCGCAAACCTACATCTGTCAGAATGTGATGGACGATGTATATGCGTGGGTGCATACGCAATGGCTTATCGATCGTATGTACGATGCGGTCGAGATGCTTCTTGACGAGTCCTCTCAGAGGATGAGTATCGGCTTCGTAGGTGAAAGGATCGATTCGTTTGAAGTGACAGGTCAATCATCCGTTACAACACAGGGTTTTGCGAGTACTCGTGATACTGTGGACAATTAATTGATTCAAATACATCTGAATGTATCGAGCAATGTTTGAATGAGTAGAGGCAACACCAAAATTCTATATATTTATCATAATATACTTTTCCGATTATTTATTAGGAGAAATATTACAATTTTTAATGCAGTAAATATATTAATAAATATATATTTCTTAAATAAAACAAATTTACATGTTTGGAAATAATTTTAGAAAATATTGTAAAAGAGAGAATCCCTTTCAAATAGGTACATTCTAGCATAAAGGTTCTAGCATAAAACAAGAAAAAAATTACTTAAAAATATCTGAAATAATTCCATATGGTTGAGCACGTATTAAATATGATTTAATGACAGATATAAATGTATTTTCTTGCTTATAATTTATATAAGAATATTTGTATACGGCATAATTTTTCTTGCTATGGTTTGCGATGCATTAATGAAATCGTGCAAAAAGCTGAAATATCTTGTTTTTTAGTCGAATATTCAGATGAAGAGTGGAGTGGCAGTCTGGCAGTTTAATCACGCACGTACACAGTTCATTAGGCTGTTTGACTTACGAGCTTGATTAATTGCCAAGCGCGGAGAATATACGATAGTTGCCAAATTTTTTTCGGACAGTGCATTTCGCTTTCCTCTGGTTTCTTAATCTTTCCCGAATGACTAGGCGTTTTTGAAAACCTGCACGAAAATGTGGTGAGAAACATCAATAATATATAATATTTGTTTTATAATTGTTACTTATAAAAATATTGATGTATTTAAAAACGTAATTAAAATTTTTTATTAAATCTAAAGATAAATTATAAAAGAGATCATTTTTCATAAGTTTACAAGTTATGTGAAATATAATCTTAAAAGATTATATTCGAAACATGACGTAGATTTATTTCTCCGACATAAATTAATTATCGCGACTTGACTGGACTAATATAACTGGCGTGCCTTTGAAAATCTAATAATTACCTTAGACCTCCTACTTATTCGAACGGTGAAAGATCGAATTACGACTTCGCGTGTTCCACAAACAATGTGGCGATTATTAAAGTAGGTCATCGGCATGATCGACCTAGCGAGTTTATACCTTATCCATTTTATGATTCGTACATATTTATCGTCCTATTCAACTCTTCTCGGTATAATATGGTACTATAATCAAACGAGCAATTTTAATCCTTTAAAGATTTAAAAAAAATGTGTTCTAAATATTTAGCACTTCTTGGAAATTACGCTACATTTTAATCATTTTATTCAATCAATAATTGGTTATAAAGTAATCATAATACATGCTATCAATTTTCAGCTAATTAGTTATAAATTATTAAATTAATTATATACTCGCGATTTGTACGCGATACAGTGATATTTGTAATATCTCATTATATGCGCAAATTAATTTCAGTGAAAATTTATCGTAATTAATTATAGAGCTATCGCTCAAGGAGACAAACCGCTATTTATAGAGTTAAACCGTGAAAATGATCGTCTTGAAAGGGTTAATATGGCGTACAGGTAAATGATGGGTTTGCGTAGACTCCGTATAATTGCCAATGTTCAGAAGCTGCCTGCCCAGCGTCGGCTGACATTATCCTTCGTTAAGGCTCAGCGACTTCTCCGGAAAGGGTAGAAAGAGCGAATGCCTTGGATAATGTCGGCGAGACGTAATTATAAGCATAACCCTCTCGAGAATTAACAGTTTCGCAAGACTTTAAAGTTTACTCGCACGTAGCTCGTTGACTATAATGTTATTAAAGGCGTAACTGTTTGTGAGTTTTGAAACTTTCCAATATTACTTTTTCACTCTATCTTTTCGGTATCTTCGAAAATCTCGGTCTTTTTTATTTGTTTTTATGTTGAATTTTATGAAAAATATGTTTATTTTTTAAAGCATTTAATTTAAATTTATTGTAATTATTTTTCTACTTTTGCGAATTTTGATTAATAGTTTTATAGATCCAAAACTCAAAGAAATATACATTTAAAAAAACTGTCTTTTAATTACGAAAATTTATTTAATGATTGTTTATTTAATGAACTAATAACGAGATATCGCAGATGGGTAAAAAATGAATTGTGATTCGGCTTTGTAATGTGTGAAATAATAATCGGAGCACATCGAGCCTGGACGCCGAGATCGACATTACTACGTTCTTCTCTCATATAACACACTCTCTATAACACCGTTGTCGGTCATTCTATCACCGTCGGATTTTTCTTGCTCGCCATAACTGTTCGATAAATCGAATCGCGAGCCACCAGGAATTACTTTATCGTCTGTCCTCCTTTTACTCCTCGTCTGAGAATCTTCATTCATTCCGCGAAAATGGAGACGCGTTTGGCAGGAACGAGATTAAAGAGCGTTCTTGGCAAGAGGGGAAGAAAAAGAGAGAAAGAGTTTCTTGATACTTCCTGGTGAACGATGGCGATGAATTTCATCGTTGTCAAAATGGGAGTTAGAATCAGGAAGAAGAAGAATGGACATCAGGGCAAGCGGGGGTGAAGGAGTCACCGGGGACTAGAATTCCGTAGAGCTGCGATACGTGTAGGAACGACCCCATGATCAAGAAACCGTGCAGTAGGATCCCTTGCTAGTGCAACCCTCGACGACGATGGATGCCAGTAAATTGCTGACCTTTTTCCCAAATATCATCCTTCTCTTCTCTGACTCTGCTCTGTACGCCGCCATTGTCGGGTGCAATTTTCTTGAGAAATCCCCGATCTACTCGGTTTTTCTCGAGTTTCCTTGTACCGCGATGCGATTTATCGTTATACGTCGCGGCAAACCTGTCAATACTTGGAATGTATCGCGGTTATTATATTGATTCCCTGAAAGTATATACAGCAGTATCTTTTCGCGTAAAAGGAGAGTTGTGAGCGAACGATTGGATAAAAATGGAACAGCGTGTGCGACTGATACATGAAAATTTCTGTGGAATATTCATATCGTTATAATAGAGGGCCGCGAGATACATCGATGACTCTGTCGTAAATTTGAAGCCGAGACAGCATTCGGTATTTTATAGTCGTTTTTATTTTATAGTTACGAAAAAAAATAATGATTATTACACTGAAAAAGATTTCTGATTAAAAATGGACGAATCAGAATTCTCTCTCTCTCTCTCTCTCTCTCTCTCTGATTAAATTTATTAGAATTCTAGTTGAGATAACCGGAATTCTTAGTTAATACAATATTTCTGGTAAAATCTATCAGAATTCTCATTTTTACCAGAATAATTGTATCAATCAGAATTCTAGCTATCTCAACTAAAATTCTAGCAGATTAACTAGAAAATTCTGATTCATCCATTTTCTACCAGAATTACTATTTAATCTAACCAGACAATTTTTCTCAGTGTAAGGTAGAAACTTTGGAAATACATGGATGTAAGCTTTGAGAGGGAATTTTAATTCCACATTGGCGAAATGTAAAGTAACGAGAAACTGAAGTTTATAAAGTGAAGGAAATATACGGTAAGATTTGCAAATCAAGTTGATGAAGAGTCTAAAATTTTCTTTCCGAATAATTCGTTCAACTTTTCAGTGCAGCATTGGCGTAGCGTTTTCTTCAGATGTTAACATTTTTCGAATGTAATATGAGAAGTTATGAAAGTTCCGGCCATAAAAAGCGTTCCGCCGTTAGGCCTGCACGGTTCATCGACTTTCACGACTGATCACTCTCTTTACTCCTCCGGACGCCACAACAAATCAATATCTATCCACGGTTTCCCGTCCTGCTTTTGCCGGCCTTTACCCTCTCTTTCCGGTCTCTACCCTCTCTTTCCGGCTTGTACCGATGGGCACGTGTTCAATATGTCTATGCAATCTACATGCATGATTTTACAGTACCAAGCATGGTTCCAATCTGTCATCTGTTTGACGCGATCGTGTCAGATGCAGGAACTAACAAGAAAATTAAAGCGACACAGTTGTAAAATCTATTGTTGTTTAATCTAAATTTAAATCTATCGCGATTATATATTATAGGTATTTTATTTTCTGTGATATTATTACACGGTATATTTTAGATATTTATTGATTTTTAGTTCAGTAATATAAAACAGGATAAAAAGGGTCAAGCTTCTTATTATCTCTAAAAATATTTTGCTGTTTAGAAATTTCCTGAAAAATTATATACTATGGACTTTTGTAATTCTTGAAAGTTAATGTGTGCTTCTAAAATTTATTTACTTACTATAATGTTTTTTAACGTGAGAGATTAACGTGCCTTCTCTTATTTTTAAATGTATTTACCTCAAAACATTGAAGTATT